GTATGTCAAAAGTAAAAATTAAAGTAGCCACCAAAATCAAATACGCACCTAAGAAGTTCTATGTGAAAACTATTTAGTTTATAAAACACTATAATCGAGAGAGTGGAGAATAATTAATTCATTACAAGTGGACACATATAGTAACTTTTATCTGTATATTTTTGCTTTTGTGTGAAAGAAAATATAAGATCATGTTTAATTGTCATATTCCACCCCTAGTCAATGAAATATGAAATCATAGATATCTGACACAAAAGTTGAATACCAAACTCGAAAAGAAAAAATATCCACGTTGAATAAGATCGATATACAAAATTGTGTCTTCACGAACAACACAATTGTATTTCACTATAGTCTAGCTAAGAACAACAAATACGTTAGTGACTGCCTCAACTCCATACTTGCAAAGATAGATTTTTGCGGGTAAACACACCCAACCCGCACCAACCTGCAAAGGGTAGTGGTTACCCATTAATCACTGCAGTGGGTGTGGGTAGCATAATTGTAAATTTGTAGGTGTAGGGTACCCACAAAATGTGAGGCAGGTAACAACACCCACGCCAATTTACACCGCTAGCCAACATAAACTAAATTTTCATAGATATAGCCCACAAAATGTGAGGCAGGTAACAACACCCACCCCAATTTACACCCTTAGCCAGCATAAACCAAATTTTCATAGAAAATTTTCATAGATTAATAAAGGAAAAAACGTGGACGGCAGGATTCGAACCTGCGCGGGCAAAGCCCACATGATTTCTAGTCATGCCCGATAACCACTCCGACACGTCCACTATTAGTTGTTTAAAGTTACTTTTGATATTATAAAAACGTTTTGTTAAGTTATTGTAACAAATAGACATTATATATGCTTTTGACTCAGTTGATAGATTAATAAAGGAAAAAACGTGGACGACAGGATTTGAACCTGCGCGGGCAAAGCCCACATGATTTCTAGTCATGCCCGATAACCACTCCGGCACGTCCACTATTAGTTGTTTAATAGTTACTTTTTGATATTATAAAAATGTTTTGTTAAGATATTGTAACCAATAGTCATGATATATATGCTTAAGAGTTAAGAATATTAAAATATAATCACTCAATAAAATTCATTCACAAACTTACCCCGTATAATAATTGTTACAATTATTCCTTGGGAAAATGTTATTCAAAAGAAACTTGCTCCATGGAAGGCTAGGAAGCTCTCGCTTGCTGCTCATTTAACGGTTGCTCGAGCGGTCTCTTCCTCAATTCCCACCTACAGTATGAACACGGAGCTGATTCCTATTGGGGTGTGCAAGTGTATTGATAAATTAAACAGGGATTTTGTGTGGAATGAAGAGGAGGACAAGTCAAAGATGCATCCGATTTCCTGGGCGAAGATGACTTCGCCTAAAGCTCAAGGAGGAGCGGGATTGCGTTCTTTAAGACAAGAAAACTTGGCGATGCTGGCAAAGAGTGGGTGGCGGATTCTTAAAGAGAAGCACACGCTATGGACCCAAATTATGCGGGCGAAGTATTGAAGGCAGCAGGAGAATTTGGATCTCCTCCAACCTTGTCAGGGAAGCTCCTTCACCTGGAAAAGCTTTATGAAAGCAGCAAAACCTTCTTCGGAAAGGTTGCGCTTGGAATATCAAGAATGGGCGCACTACTAAATTTTGGTTTGATGTTTGGAGGTTCCCCTAAAGGAGGTGTCAATTGGGCCAATTCCAACAAACATGGTGGAGGCAACAGTTGCAGACTTCGTTGCAGTTGATGGCAGCTAGCGGATGGAACTTTTCTCGGCTCTCCTTCCTAGCGACTTCCTGTAGAAGCTACAAAACATCGTTGTTGACCACCTTTCTACGGACGAGGACACAATTTTCTGGACAGAAGCCTCTGATGGAAGATTCTCTGTGAGACAGCGTACAAACTCCTCAACCAACAGCCGCAGGATCCTAACGAGAACATTTGGAAGATTATTTGGAGGATACAAGTCCCTGAACGAGTCCGATGCTTCGTATGGCTTAAGTTCCTCAACTAGCTGGTTACCAATGAAGAGCGCTTCCGTATAAAGGTGGCTCTCAACCCCTTTTGCACCCATTGCACTGGGCATACTGAGAACATCCTGCACATTTTGCGAGATTTCCCGCCAGCTTACTTCTTTTGGACTCGGCGTATTCCTGGACAGAAGCAAGCGGCCTTCTTCAGCGTGGATCAAGAGACGTGGCTCAAGTATAATATGCATAATGATGAGTGCGACAGTTCTGGCTTGAGCTGGCCTGCTTTTTTCAGTATGGCAGCTTGGTTAATCCGGAAGAACAGGTGCACTACTTGTTTCAAAGGTGCGACTACTGCTCTTGCCCCATCATCCTTAGCCCACTTTGTTATGGTAAAGACGAAGGTCTGGAACAAAGCATGGAAAGCTCCGGATTTGCTTTTGGATGGCAAAGAGACCCGCGCTGCTAGGGTGACCGCGGAGATCAGTTGGGCGCCGCCGGCGGTGGGATGGACCTCCTTGAACATTGATGGCGCCTCAAACGGTGACCCAGGGCCTGCTGGTGCTGGAGGATTGATGCGAGATTCAGATGGGAGATGGTTAGCCGGTTTTGTGGCTAACATTGGGGAGGCCTCGGCTTCCCTTTCCGAGTTGTGGGCGTTCTTCTGGGCTGGTTTTGGCTTGGAAGTATGGAAGCAGAGCTCTGAGGATTGAGTCGGACTCTCAATTAGCTATTCAGCTTATCAACAGTCGCCATGATCCGGTACACCCTTATGCTACCTTGCTTGCGGCTATTCGTAGAAAGCTAGGACAGGAGTGGCTGGTGAACATCACTCATACATATCGAGAAGGGAATAGAGCCGCGGACTGGCTCTCGAAACACAGCCTCGTCTATCCCTACGATATTTATGAGCTTGTGAACCCGCCACATGGACTAGCCTCGATTCTTCAGGATGATCTCATGGGTATCGCTTTTGAGCTCAAAGTTGTAGCTACTTCTTCCTCTTCTTCCTTTCGTCTGTAATCTCTCCTTCCTGGCTTTTAGCCTCCTTTTATGCAAAAAAAAAAAATTATGGTTATCCAAAAATATTAAAATTATATTCTTAAATTTATTTTTTCTAACAAATTTATACTCATAATTATCATTATCCACACATATTTTTTTTATAACCAAATCATCCTACCAACTTTTTCTGTACTACTAAAACATATTTTACATATCATCGACTGAATTATTTTTTTCGTTGCGAGAGAAATTCGTCAAATACGACAAATCTCGACTTATTTAAATATCTAAACTTTGGGTAGAGTGAGTCACAAACCCTCAGTCATATCAACCGCTTCTATACCAATCCTCTCCCACTCAAACCCTTGAACCAAGCATCCCAAGACCAACCCCATTACATCCTCAACTCCCCAGACCGAACGTAGCAGAGTTGAAATTTGGATTGGGTTCCAATTCCCTGGAAGATTCTTGATCAAGGCATGCAATCAATGTAGGCAGGAAAATCACTAAATCGGCTCATTGTCACTATCTTCATCGTTAGCTCTCTGTAGTTGTGTCATGTGATTCAAAATCGAAGGCATCCCTCGGGTCTTCCATTCTGTTAATTACTTATTTTCCATGAACTGGCCCGAGTTTTTCTCCACTCTCGCCACTCTTTTTCATTCGATCTCCTTGCCGCGAACGTCCATCGTTCGTCGATTTGGATTTCATGGGTTGTTTGTCTGCCCACTTCCCTCTGAGAGTTTCTGGAAGGGGGAAAAGGGGGAAAGTACTCTGACACTTGGATAGCCGTCAAGCTAATCATCTGGGGGACAAAGAGTGGTGGGACGGCTAGCAAGAGAGTCCATCATCGAGCATCATCACAAGCTCCAGCTTGGCTAGCCTCCAGGGTAGGGATGGCAATGGGTCGGGTTGGTTCGGGTTTTGCCAAACCCAAACCCATGGGTTTATCTTTGAAAAAAACCCGGGGTAAAACCCACTGGGTTTGAAAAACTCAAACCCAACCCAACCCGTTGGGTATCCGCGGGTTCATGGGTACCCACGGGTTTTGTTGTAAAAAATTTACAATTACAAGTTCTTATCAAAATTAAAGTCAAATATCAATCTCTCAATACAAATTATCCATATATAAAACACAATTCTAGAAAATTCAAGCAAATCACAAATTAACTATACAAATTGTTCAACACCAATCTAGAAAACTCAAAAAAATTGAAGCAAATCACAAATTTTCCATAAATAACATGTTTAATTGAAAGCTTCTTCCTTTCAATTAAGTTTCTTTACTCTCCACTCCATAACATCAACTTCATTCTACACAATTAAAAAGAAAAAATTAGACATGTCTCCACAAACATAAATAAGATTAGTTGTTTAGAATATTAAATATACCGAAAAATTAATTATATGGGTGGGCGGGTACCCACGGGCCGGGTTTACTTAAACCCAAACCCAACCCAACCCGTTGAATAGTGAACGGGTTTAAACCCAAACCCGGCCCAAAACCCGTCAACACGGATTTTACCCGCGTTGACCGGGTTGGGTCGGGTGGGTACCCGTGGGTTCGGGTTTTGTTGCCATCCCTACTCCAGGGTATCAACGAAGCGACAGAAGGATGTGAGAACGGGTCAAAAAGAAAGAGGTAAGTGGGAGTGCACCGAGATTGCGATATACTCGTCCGTATACCACTAAACCCCTAATGCAAAACTTGCCAATTGATAATAGGGTAAATACAATTTAGTAGAAAACCTTTTATTTCAAACAAAATAATAGCCAAACCGTTAATATTCCATCCAATTGACCGTCAGTTGACTCTGACGTGGGAATTTAATTGCTGAGTTGGACAAATATCGATGATGTGGCAAAATGCCCCTGTTTGACTATACTTTATTTTTATTTATTAATTTCAATATAATTAATTATTAAATTTTAAAACAAGAAAACAAAACAAAAAAACCCTAATCTAACAAAGAAATCCCCTCGCGATGGCCTTCTCTTCCCCTCCCTGTCCCCGAGGCTTCTCTTCCCCTTCATGTCCCTTCATCTTCCATCTCCTCCACAAACAGATGCAGTTCAAGAACAAAAAATACCCCAGCCTTCGCCTTCCTCCTTTTTCCCTTCATCTTCCGCTCGATCTTGGAACTCGTCACGGAAATACCGGGCGAATAAACAAAACCAGCCCATTAGTTGGAAACAGCGGAGGAATAATCATCGCATCCCAATTACAGTTTCGATGTTGAGGAGCAAACCTTCCTCGACGAGACCTTCTTCCTCCTTCTGGGTGTGATGACGACAACCGCAGGGTGACCTCCTTCTCGACGGCGACGGCTCGGCTTCTCCTTCCTTCTTGGCGATAGCGCCTAAATCAGTGAGTTGAACCTCCGCAGTGGGCTTTCTTGAAGAAACCCATATCTCCATCGAGGGAAAGGAAATCACGCTGAACCCAGGTCTGCACGGTGACATCGGCACCCTCTCCTTCCTCTTTTATGGTGGTGCTTTGGTATACGAATCGACGGAGGTGGTCACTACAAAAAAAAAAGACCTATGGCAAGGGTTATTTTCATTTGTAGCAAGGGTTTTAACCCTTGTTACATAACGTAGCAAGGGTTTCTACAACCCTAGAAATGACCCTTGGCAAAGCTGCCCCTGCTACGTATAGCAAGGGTTATTGTCAATCCTTGGTGGATGTCCCCTGCAAGGGTTATAGCAAGGGTTGAAACCCTTGCTACACGTCATTGTAAAATTTGTTCTAATAGCAAGGGGTTTAAACCCTTGCTACAAATCTGTGTACAATTACGTAAATAATTTGTTGCTTAAATTAGCAAGGGTCAAAACCCTTGCTATAGGGTATTGTATCAACTATGAGATGTTGCTTGCAAGGGTCAAAATCCTTGCATAATTTGTGACTAAAGCATGACAATATTTTGTGACGAAACCAAACCCGTCGCTAAAGGTCGTTACTAAACAGAAAAATAGGATTGGTTGCTATAGGTTGATTGCAAATACTCTGGTCATTATATACAAATGCATAACCATGTTCGTTACAAGAATTCAAACATAACATATACCTGAATCATAACTTGATATGATTCATCATCCAAAATTGTATCTTACATAGCTAAATACTAATCACCACAAACATTCCAACATAATCGAAGGAAAAATAGCACGTTCGTGATACCTCAAAATCCCAAAATCTTTCATGTAAGAAACTCACGACATCTTATCACGAAACTCACTTGTAGCACCCTGTTCATAATAGAAAAGAATTGTCAACACTAATTCAAGTTCACCAATTCAAGTATTCATTAGGCTAAACAAGCAAGAAGGCAAGCTATCAATCATGCACACCACTTTCATGTGTTGATTAAAAAAAAACAGATTCAACAGCCAATGAGAGCGGTGACCCTGCTTCTAATTAGACCATTCCACTTCTAACACTAGAGTATTTACTGCACTTACAACAAAGCTATTAAATTCTAAAAGCTAGCAAAAGACCACTGAAGGAGGGAATTTCCTTCCAGACTATTGTGCTTCAAACTATAAATAATGGCACCCAAATTCCCAGCAAGGTTAACAGTGAGAGTTTAGTGTTACTACTAAGATTGGCAACTGATTAATTAGTAAGTAATTGACAACTCCTGTTCAACCCTAAAATATCACCAAGTAGGCTATTAAATAGCACCAGTTTAAACCAAAGCTGCTGATACAGAGTCCTACCTACCACTTCAATCTAATCCTTATATGTAAAATCTGTAAATTCATATGAGATATCTCAAGTAGAGCTGAAATTTTACCTTGGTGATTTTCAGTATATGTCGGTGAAATGGATTGAACTCTCTTCTTTTCGAATGCTCTATCGATAGTGGAGTCAAGGTGTTGTTCTTTGAAATCCAGTTTATTCCTTGCAAATCGATCATCTGCAACCGCCGGAAGAAAAGTGTCGATTTCGAAGACACAACAGCTTCATTCCAAATTCTCCAAAAGTATGGTACAACAGGGAGAAATGCTTACCTCCATAATGCCTGATGTCCGAAATCTCCAAAAGTATGAGATCAAGATATCGCTGACGATACCGTGTTTCCTAATACCAAATAAACCAAGGAAAAGAAAAACAGAAGTAAGAAATAACAGTAACTTTATCGTACATCCAAAGCTTTCTAGTTGAACAACCTGATCCTTCAGACTTGGAAATCTAGTGACACCAACAATGTCCCCACATTTCACAGCAGAGTGAAACCTTGATAAGTCAGCTTCCTCCATGCCAAACTTGCTGAATCATATGAAAAAAAACTCAATTCTTGAACATGATACAGATACAAAAAATTGTTCAATCACAAATGACATAAACAAATAGGCTCAAACATATCAGCCGAAAGGATCATGCACAATACAGAGCTACCCTCTCGATAAAAAACACAACATAGAACTATATGATTAATATATGTGAGAGAACATGTACTAGCAAAGGCCATACCGTGGGGTCCACATCCTCTTCATCTCCAGTTGGTTTTGAAGATTGAGAGCTAGCCTTTGCAGAAGCCTGGACAAGAAGTACATAAGGTTACATATGCATTCATCCATAGACAAATTCAGAACAATATAACACCACTAAGCATTAAGTAATCGCCTGAAAGTACAGGCGGTATATATAATTGCAATAACAATCAAAAGGAGTTCAAAACTTATAAGAAACTACTCAATCCGATTACATAACAATGGCAACATAAATCGTACCAGCTCACATGTAGGAAAGAAACCATCATCACCACCTTTAGGCATGATGGCATCTTTAGGATTTACACCAGCCAACCATGGAGATGCTCGTGCACAATTTGTGTACTTGCAACCATTAAATGCATTCAGCCATTGAACAAAAGGAAGGTTCTGGTTTTCATTGTACCAGCCCTGTTCAATAGCAGAGAAGAGACAAACACAATGGTCCACTTTTAGTTTCATCTTCTTCGTAAGTTTACCAAATACCTGTATGTTTATTGCAGAGTTCAACACAATGTGCCCTACTCTGCCCAGATGATACCCCAACACCATACATCATCACATAACAACGACAAACCAATCTTCTTCATAACTTTACCAAATAGCTGTACTTTTACTGCAGAGTTCAACACAAATACCGGTATTTAGCTCCCCTATTTATCAACCCTGTCTTACCACGGACTTTGCACCTAACATGTCCTAAACCAATCTCTTCCCTCTACGAAAGCAACCAAAATAATGTTAGGATTTCAGGGTCATTGCAAAGAAGAGAAGCTCATCAGTAAAACAAGTCTTAAAAATCAAGGGAATTCATCCATTATAAGATTCAGAAGGATTTCAGAGATAAAAATAGTGACGAGCTAAAAGAGAGCAAGCCAATACTTATCAAAACTATGTCAAGAAATGACATTAGGCCCATTATAGGTTTCCTCTTGTTCCTAAACATCATCTCTGTTTATCCTGCCGCCATAACTGCATTGAACTAAGAAGGACTCTCCTTACTCTCATGGCTATCAACCTTCAACTCTTCTTCGTCCACTTCAATTTCATTCTCTTCATGGGATCAAACCCACACCAATCCATACAGATGGGACTCCATCAGTTATCTTTTTGTTCAAGAACAATCAAAGCAAAAACTGTACTGTAATAAAGATCAAAAGCTTATCACCTGAAATCTTATCACCACCAATGCTAGAGCTAGAAACAAACATACATCCAAATTCACGACGGACATAAGCACAAAGTCAGGAAACTCCCCAATTTCAGTTCAACCTACAAACATTAACAAGAAGTCAACAACTTGAATAAAAAACAACACGGGAGAAAAGAAAGGCAAGATATACAACCTAATTGTTGTTACCTCAATGAAGCAATAATGGAACACAAGCCCGAGGAAAGCTGGAATGGCATCGAGATTGACTCTGTGAAGCTTTCTGTCAACGTCTCGTTGAATCGGACTTTCGAGAATCTGAACCATCTCGTCTTCACGCTCTAGTGAGGAAGCTGAAACTCGAGCCAAGGTTTCCGGAATTTGCAGCTCAAAATAGAATTGAATCGCCTGAAGTGAGGGAGAGACCGAAAAAATAACCTAATTCCTACACTAAAAAAAGATCCCGCCCATTTCCCGAAAGAGAGAGAGAGAGCGATGGAGGGAGAGCGATGACCGGGAGTGAGGGAGACAAGGAATTAGACCTTTCCGCTGGAGGATCAGAGAATCGAGTCGGAGCGAGTGAAGGAGACCGCAATCGACTTCAGCCGGAGCTCTCTTCCGGCCTCTCTCGCATGGCGGCAGAATCACCAAAACTCCGATAAAATAAGAAAATAGGAGGAAAAGAAAAATTGTAGAAGGGGAAACAGAGGTTTTCATATCCGCGAAGTGTGAAATGTATAGTTAGTCTGTAGCAAGGGTTACGAATCCTTGGTAAAATGCGTTGCTATAATAGATTTCTGAAAAATTAGCACGAGTTGTGCAACCCTTGTTACATAGCCCTTGGCGCAGGATCCTTTTTTTGTAGTGGGTGGCCGTGAAGACTAACGGCGGTGGTGTGAGGGCGGCAGAGCAAAGTTGAGAGCAGATAGAAGAAGCGAAATCTTCTTTTTCATTTTATAATTTGACTATAAATAAATTTGTAGTTTGTTCATTTGTCAAAAAATAAATATTATTTGATAAAATTATCTAATATCTATGTGTGGCATAGTCAAACATTTGACCGTTTGCCACATCATTAAAAATCATTTATCTCATTTAATATTTTGTCACGTCAGAGTCAACTAACGGTTGATCGGATGAAAAGTTAATGATTTGACTATTATTTTGTTTTTCGAAAGATTTGTCTATTATTTTGTATAAAGTTGAAAGATTTGGCTAATAAAGTGTATTTACCCTTGATAATACTAACTAATAATAATATTTGCATGAGTGACAAGTGTTTACTTTAAATTGAAACAATGCAACTTGCTCACCCATTTGATTTCAACTCACCAAGACCATTATAGCGGAAAAAAATCCAAAACTACCACTGTTAAAAAAAAATTATAAAAATACCACCCATTCCCAACAATTTCCAAAAATACCACCGTTTATTAAAAACCGCGCCTCTAAGAGGCGGTTAATATATAAACTGCACCACCAGGCTGCGGTTTACATTAGAAACGCCTGGTCAACAGGCGGTTTTCCTTTTAAGGTAAAACCTCTCTTCGAAGGCGCGGTTTATATGGCTGCCCTACCACAAAACGCTTAGTCAGGGAGCGTTTATATGTCAGCTTAGTAAACCGCACCACCAGGCCGCGGTTTACCATGTGGAGACATAAACCGGTTCCCCCACTAGCGGTTTGTGAAAAGTAAACCGCTGGCCCCAGCTGCGGTTTGTGCCTGGTCACTCGACATCCAACATGTCGGCACGCAGGGGGTGGAGCTGCATGGCAGACCTAAAATCGCTCCCCCCCCCCCCCCCCGGGCGCGGTTTGTACTGTAAAATTCGCCTATAAAAGGATGTTCCAGAGAACTCAAAATCTTCACTCCTCCTCCTTCTTCCTCAAATTTCAGTTGTGCACCTTTAAATTATTTAGTTTTTGCGATTAACGTTAATTCGTAAGTTTGTTTTGTATTACTTTTCATTGTCCTTTGTGATTTTATGTTAGTAACTTAATTACAGTTTTATTGCAGATGGCATTCCAAAGGTTCACGCTTGGGTTGCGGTGGAATGGTTACACGGAAGAGACTGAAAAGGGTGTAAGTTACGTCGGTGGCAATTTTTATAAAATGAAGGTCCGTACGAGACCGATGCTTGAAGAGCTCCATCAAATGTGCACTCAGATTACCTACATGGATGGCACTAGAAGAGTTGATCAAATGGTGTATCGATATCCAAACAGACATGACGGGTCACTGTGGAATGAGGAATTCCTCCTTATCACTCAGGAGGACGTTGATGCCATGGTCCATTTTTTGACAACCAATAAAATTAAGCAAGCGGAGATGTTCGTTTACACCGAGGTCGTCGAAGGCGGTGTAGGTCATTCTGGAGATGGCCAAACATCTGGTATCCACGGTGGGAGTGTATTATACGAAGATGATCCCTACCAGGAGTACCAAGACTCGAGCTGGAGGCAGGAGTATCATGATAGAACTGGAGGTCATCATCAATCCTTCCCTTCATATGAAGAAGAAGCTCAACAGGCGGATGAGAACCAACAAGCAGGCTACCAGTACCCACCCGAGTACAACTTCTACTAAAGCGGTGTTAGTTACCACAACTACCATTACGGAGCTGGTGAAGGTGAAGGTGCCTTTCATGAAGATTATCAGATGGAAGAAGAGGTCAATCCAAGTCCAGTTAGTGACCCTGAGGTCGAAGAAGAGGAAGGCGATGTTAGTGCAGACAGGTTCGATCCTCTGGAAGGTGCTGATGAGTCCAGTCCAGATTCAGACGCAGACGATAATGAGGTACCTCGCGACCGTGTACCTATCCCGTACTACAATCACATTCCAAATGAAGATTAGTATGTTGATGCCGACATGGACCCACCAGAGGTGCCAGTATGGGGTCCACTCACTGGCTTTACGAAGGGCCAACAATTTGCAACGAAGAATGAGGTCCGGCATGCTATTTCCACTGAAGCAATGACTCGGAGTTTTGAATGGCAAGCAACCCATTCCGACAAGAAGAGGCTGATGGTTAGATGCAAAAATCAAAATGAGGGATGCAAAGCTAGGGTCCGGGCCATCAAGAGCAACAGAGTCGGCCATTGGGTCATATCCCGTGCGGTGAACACACACATGTGTGTGATCAATAACATCCCTAGGCCATCAACAGTTGAAATCAAGGGTGGTTGCCGCGGCTATCAAATATCTAATTGAGGAGCAGCCCGACATGAAGGTGAAAACCATCATCACGTCATTTCTAGTCGTTATGGTTATATCATTAACTACAAGAAGGCGTGGCATGGGAAACAGAAAGCAATGGCCGTCGTGTTTGGTGACTGGGAAGAATCATATGCATTCCTTCCCAAATTGATTTTGGCGTTGGAGGTGTCTAACCCTGGCACCATTTTCTCACCTCGCTACCAAGATGAAGAAATTCAGCCGCCGGTGCCTGGTAACAAGCGCCATTTCAAGCGTCTTTTCTGGGCATTCAAGCCATGTATTGATGGTTTTCCATTCTTTGTTCCTGTGATTCAAGTTGATGGAACATTCCTTACTGACAAGTACAAGGGTACTCTACTGATCGCGAGCGGAGTAGATGCAAATAGAGCAGTATATCCATTAGCCTTTGCCATTATGGAGGGAGAGAATACCGATAGCTATGGATGGTTCTTCAGACAAATTCAACTCCATGTCACCAGGCGGACGAACCTAACTATCATCTCAGATCGCCACGCTGGTATACGGGCTGCTATCTTAGGCTTGGATCCAACCTGGAACTGGTCACAGAGATGGTGCATACGTCATTTCAAGAGCAACTAGACCATCATTTCAAGCGAAAGAAGTTTGTTGATAGTCTATGGTGGATCGGTAAGCGTTCTATTTAATTGTTATATATATTTTGTCAACTGGATAAAACGAGGACTAAATAAATACAATACAACAGTTATTTAGACTCTTTATAAAGTAATGCATGCCTAAGGAAATGGGGTTTTAAGCGATCATCATGATCCTCCCATTTCTTGGGAAAGTCGGGTTTTAAGCGATCCTCGGATCCCCCCTTTTATTGTCAAACAGGCTGTGTTTCTAAGGATATGTATACCTCTGCTAAGATTCATACGAGTGTACTTGTATTGAGGGTAAGGTCGGTCTTACTTACCTTACGCTTTTGTTTGATATTAATCAGCTGTCGCTTACCAAGAAAAGAAATTTAAAGAGAAGATGTAGAATATCCGTCAGCTATGCCCTGAAGGTGCGCAGTAGCTTGATCAACATGACCTTGCAATGTGGACGTTCATAAGGACGGAGGTGCCAGATGGGGTATTGCCATAACGAACTCAAGCGAGAGTATCAACAACGTCTACAGGGAATGTCGTGCACTCCCCATCTCTGTAATTGTTGAGATGACATTCTGCAAAACAAACGGATGGTTCGGCAATCGTCTCCACTGGTGTGAGAAGAGGGAGGCATAGGGTAAGGTACACTCCGATCATGCCACAAAAATAATGGAAAAAGATAATCGGAAGAGCTCTCGTCACAAAGTCACTGTTATGAACCGAAATGTTGGCGAGTATTCGGTCGAGACTGGGCACTGGGAGGATGGGAGACGTGGGGGTCATCGCCATGAAGTCACCGTCAACTTTAGGACTAAAAAAGGGATGTGCTCTTGTCAGAAGTATCAGGGTAGAGGTATACCTTGTTCCCATGCAATGGTTGTAATAAAGCACAGGAGCAAGGACCCTCGTCATTTCGTCAGTCCGTTCTTCAACATCGACTCACTAAAGAGCAGTTATCGTACGAGTTTCCGTGCATTGCCGGATGAAGCTTACTGGCCAGTTTATGAGGGTAAGGTCATCATTCCACCAATTGGTCTTAGGCGGGAAACAGGGCGCCCGCGGGTAAAAAGGATTCCAAATGAGATGGATCAAAGTGGAAGACCACCGCGAGGGCCAAGGCGGTGTTCCATATGCAAAGTACCAAGGCATGATAAACGAAAATGTCCCGGACCAATTGGTCCTCAAAATCCAGGGCCCGATGTGGTGAACCCGGATAATGGCACATAGATTGATTTCATGCATTTTCACAAAGTGTATTAATTTCAATGGTTACGTACTTGTATTTTGTGTGTTTAAATGACATTGGAGATTTGAAAAATTAACACACTTCGATGCAATGTTCCATCTTTTTGAATAAACACATCACGAACACAAACACACCACATGTTGAAGTAAAAAATAACTTCAAATAAAAACAAATTGTTCAACTTAATTTAAACCAAACATAACTTGAAATAAACACAACTTGTCACACTCATGCATTATTTCGACGATTTGCCCTCTGTTTCCTTGTGCGATGGGCGACTGGTCCACCGGGTGTAATAGGGGTTGGAAGTGGTGGCAGATTCCTATTCGCCGTAGAAGGGCCCTGGTCCGTGCTATGCCGCCGCAGTGCCGTGGTAGGTGGCCCCTCCGTGTGTGGCCGAGGACTATCCATGCTCATACGGTGGGGAGTGGACTGCCATTGTTATTGTGAATATGCAAATGTGAGAAGTCTTGGTGGGGACTTGAGTATGAACCATCGGCCCAAGTAGCTGAGGATGTGGCGCTATGAAATGTACTTGGCCGAGGATCATACTAGAAACTGGGCCGAAAATTGTATTGGAAACTCGACCGGGGAACATAGTGGCTACCGGGCGTGGGATCGTAGTGGAAACTGGGGCGAGGATCATGTTGAGTACCGGGGTCGTAGAAAGCACTTGGTCTTGGATCGTAGTGAAAACTCGACCGGGGATCATATTGAGTACTCGACCCTGCACCGCTGTACACCTCCAATGGAGTAGGCACCTTACACGCCTCAATCGGCTTGATCTCCGGCACGTGAGGTCGATCCCTTGTAGCCTTGTTTGGCCTTCTATGGACCGACTGAGGCACGTGGGGGACATCCTCCGCACCGGCCGCGGTGTAACTGGGGAAACTGGCGGGTATCTGTGATGGTCACGTGAGCGCGCTCTCATACAGAAAGGAGACTGTTCGCTATCCTTCGAATGAGCCCTACCTCTCGACCAGCAGCCGAATGATCTGCAATACGAGCGAGGTCGTGTATACACTCGATGCCATCAACCTAAATCGAAGAAATTAACAACGTGAGCCATTTAAGAAGTGCACCGCATGCCTAAATAAATAAAGACTGAATTACTTACCAAAGCTCTGTCCGCCGCACCTTCGGGGGTCATGTAACGAACAGATTGTCTTCGGTATGTTTCCATGTATGGGTCATGGTAGCCCATCCGCCCCACATCTGATCCCATCACAATATCCTGATCTTGCCTAACGTTCCACAGAGCGATCAATTCTCCAAACTCCTCCGACCAATTAGTATACCCTTGTCGACCATCTTTCCCATGGTACCCCCTTTGACTCGCCGGGACTTCCAATGGTAGGCATTGCTCAGGTCTGAATTGTCGTAGACATCGATTCGGCAAGTGCCACTCCACTATATGGTGGCAGATTAGTGGAACTCGGGTGCACCATTGACCGGGATGCAACGTGAACTTGTGGACGTGATGCGCGACAATGCATTCTAGATACGGATCGAACTTAAGCTACGAAAGTGCAGATAAAATGGACCATTAAGAAACATAAGAATATAAGTTGAAAATATAGCAGGAAGTAATAGTGTATTATGATGGTCACCTCTGCTTCCCAAAGGCGATCCAGCCTCCTACGATACTTCTCCAACTTATGCGCTTCTAGGTTGTCGCATGTTTTTTCACCAAGCCACCTATTAATTCCAAAAAGTACATCATGTTAATACATAATAAAAATTTCATTATAAAATACCCAATTAGTAAAAAAAGATGAGAACTATGAGCGGGATAGAAAATATTTACCTACAACCATAAGCTTCATGTCGTAGGGGATGGTCGGATCCCCATTCATTGTCGGGGTCTACCTTCGGCGCAATCCATAGCAAATGCTCCCAAGCCCAAAATTGGACGATGAACATGACCCCATCAATCTCCTTCGCCGCTCTCGCACTAGCATTACAGAGGGAGCGGTAGAGATGAGCTAGGCAAGCAGATGCCCAGCTTAGGTTTCCCATATCATCCCAACGCCCAAGTATGATCTTCAACCATGAATTTCTGATTAAATTGTTGGATTTCTTGGGGAAGAAAACTCCTCCGATCATGCCGAGGATGTAGATACGTGGATAAATGTCTTTATCACGCTCCGAACTTTCCTCCGTGAGGAGAATGCCGCCGAACTCAGGGTTGTGCTTATGCCTGATCTCCGCTGTCAACCAAGTGATGGATACTTGGCCCTTGGACAATGGTGGATTACCATCCGCATCGTGATCTCCCTTTTCTGGCGGACACAACCTAGTGACCGTCCATATAAAATGTTGCCAATCACTCATATGGGCAACAACTTTAGGTGGTGGCGTAGAGTCCACACAAATAACATCACCATCGATGGGCAAATCGGTTAGGATGACGATGTCCTTCAGTGTGATGGTGCACTCGCCTTCACGAAAATTGAAGCAGTGTGTCTCCTTTCACCATCTCTCTACCAATGCTGTGATGAGTTGGCGGTCGATCTTGATTCCATTAAAGTGCCTAATCGAATCCAATCTTGCCCTTTTTAGAAAGGGCAAGATGACGTCGTTCCATTCAAGCACATTCGTCGTGCCCCTATAGTGGACTATATGGTATACATCCTATGAAGAATTTAACTTTCACTATAAGTTGATGATTTATAATAAGGATTAGGGTATAGTACCAAGCCCAAATTTTTTTCTATTTAGAGGTCTAGATAGTGTTTTCATACTCAAGGTATACGGTACCCGGAATTTCACCCGGGGTACCGTAGAAGCCACCGTATATATGGCGAGTTCTACGGTACCCCGAGTGAAATCCGGTGTACCGCATACCTTGAGTATGAAAACGCTATCCAGACCTTGAATTGATTGATCTTTTGGACATGATATTATACTCTAACCCTTAAAGATCAAAATCTAGGTCTTAGTTCCCTAAATTTTATACTCAAAGATCAATTTAATTAGAAACAATAATCGACGGCTATGATTCGTCCAAATATAGGCAAAAAAATGAATGCCCCGTCTTAGGGTTTATAGTTTATGATTTAGATAATTAGGTCCTAGGGTTCACTCAATAAGGATTAGGGTATAGTACCAAGCCCAAATTTTTTTCTATTTCGAGGTCTAGATAGTGTTTTCATACTCAAGGTATACGGTACCCGGAATTTCACCCGGGGTACCGTAGAAGCCACCGTATATATGGCGAGTTCTACGGTACCCCGAGTGAAATCCGGTGTACCGCATACCTTGAGTATGAAAACGCTATCCAGACCTTGAATTGATTGATCTTTTGGACATGATATTATACTCTAACCCTTAAAGATCAAAATCTAGGTCTTAGTTCCCTAAATCTTATACTCAAAGATCAATTTAATTAGAAACAATAATCGACGGCTATGATTCGTCCAAATATAGGCAAAAAAATGAATGCCCCGTCTTAGGGTTTATAGTTTATGATTTAGATAATTAGGTCCTAGGGTTCACTCAATAAGGATTAGGGTATAGTACCAAGCCCAAATTTTTTTCTATTTCGAGGTCTAGATAGTGTTTTCATACTCAAGGTATACGGTACCCGGAATTTCACCCGGGGTACCGTAGAAGCCACCGTATATATGGCGAGTTCTACGGTACCCCGAGTGAAATCCGGTGTACCGCATACCTTGAGTATGAAAATGCTATCCAGACCTTGAATTGATTGATCTTTTGGACATGATATTATACTCTAACCCTTAAAGATCAAAATCTAGGTCTTAGTTCCCTAAATCTTATACTCAAAGATCAATTTAATTAGAAACAATAATCGACGGCTATGATTCGTCCAAATATAGGCAAAAAAATGAATGCCCCGTCTTAGGGTTTATAGTTTATGATTTAGATAATTAGGTCCTAGGGTTCACTCAATAAGGATTAGGGTATAGTACCAAGCCCAAATTTTTTTCTATTTCGAGGTCTAGATAGTGTTTTCATACTCAAGGTATACGGTACCCGGAATTTCACCCGGGGTACCGTAGAAGCCACCATGTATATATATATATATATATATATATATATATATATATATATATATATTTATATTTATATATATATATATTTATATATATATATATATATATATATTTATATATATATATAAAAATAAGATGCAATATTAATTAAATCAAAGTTGTTTTAGAGAAATATACATTATCTAATATACATTAATTTTAACATAACTAAAATAATTTTCAAAATTTAAGTACATTATTTTTTGTACACATACACATAAAATCAAATATATTATTTTGTTAATCGTATTGATTATTTTCAATAATTTAAAGCAATACAAGTACACTCGTAAGATTCTTAGGAGGGGTATACATCTCCTTAGAAACACAGTCTTTTTGACAGAAAAAGGGGGGATCCGAGGATCGCTTAGAACCCGATTTTCCCAGGTCATGGGGGGATCATGATGATCGCTTAAGACCCCATTTCCTTAGACATGCATTTCTTTATAAAGAATCTAAATAAGCATTGTATTGTATTGATTTAAATTATTGAAAATAATCAATACGATTAACAATTAAGTAAATTATTGTACAAACAAATAAATTAATTTAACAAAATACAAATTACAAGTGATGATAAATAATATGTACCTTGTGGTCGTTCCAAACGTCTCTTGAACGATGATTGGTTTGATCGTATAAAATAGTCGGATCAATCGGTCCTTGATCAACATAATATCGTTGACTGTATATATCAACATCCGGCCCAACCTACGATAGCATAACAACAACATAAATCAATTAGTATATAAATTAAATAAATCATTATAATAATAACAACAATTGGGTAAAAAGAGTACGTGCCGCTTGATAATCATCATAGTAAATTCCCTCTTCTTGGATAAAATCGGCCATTTTTTCAGAATCCGGGCAGAGATTCAACGGTTTTTTAGTGAAAACCAAAGAAAAAGTTTTTTGAAGGCAGATCGGACTTAGCCGCAACCAATAAAACAACTAATTCTAAGGTTTTTGGGTTAGGAGGGGGGTGGGTAGAGTGAGGAGTTAGAGAGAGAGAGAGAGGAATGGGGGTTTGGTGTGCAGAAAATGGGAGGAGGGTTGGGTTTATATAGGGACGAAATCGCGTGCTGGAGGGGCGGTTTCGTCTTTTTACCCCACTTAAAACCGCGCCTCCAGCGCGCGTTTTACGTTCCCCAAAGCACAAACCGCGCCTCGGGGCAACGGTTTGACTGAGCGACGCGGATCACTGAGCTGGCGAGCGGTTTGGCCTTCAGATCGCCTCCTCATCGCGCGGTCGCATGGGCCGCCACGTGGCGACGCGTTTTGACAGATAGGAAGGGTCAAACCGCCTCTTGAACGCACGTTTTGAATGTGAACCGCGCCTTCGAGGCGCGTTTTGTTTGGAAGGGTGGTATTTTTGAAAATTGTAGAGTATGGGTGGTATTTTTGTAATTTTTTTTATAGTGGTAGTTTTGGATTTTTTCCTATTATAGCAAACTTTTCTTATATAACCTTTTCTTTTGACTCTTATTTAATTTGAGGTTCTCTTTCTCTTTTGATTTCTTGATTTCTACACCATATATATATATATACTTTATACATTCTAATAGATCCATTTAATTTTAGTTATTTTCTAGGATTACTTAAATTTGGTATTTGTAGGCATTGATAAGAAATAATAGTACAACAATTCATCCATGTAAGGATTAGAATTGTGAAACCAGAGGTTGTATTAAAAAGTGAGGAATAAGATATTTTGTGTTGAAATCATGGTTTAACCGTGTTATACCATTAAAATCATTTTCCGATTTAAATCTGGTCAAAAGTTTTTCGTTCGGACTACCGATACAGTACAATTTCACAAACACTGTAAAATTAGATACTTAATGATGAATTTTACAATGCTATATAGCATTAGTGCTATAGGTTTTTTCCTTTATGGTACAACTTGAAGTTGTACCTTTAACGTTATGGTACAACTTCATGTTGTATCTATACCTTTTGTCAAATTGTTTTATGGTACAACTTAAACTTGTACTTTCATTTGATGGTACAAGTTTAAGTTATAAAGTTGCACCATAACATAAGAGCACAAATTCTTTTATGGTACAACCTGAAATTATATATTTAACGTTATGGTACAACTTTAAGTTGTACATTAAAGCACCAATACTTTATAGCATAGTAGAAGTGCTCTCACTTAATAGGCTTACAATGTTAGATATCAAACTATTTTACATTTAGTTATATTCGTTGTTATTCCAATTAATAGTCATAATTAATCAATTAGAAGCATTATAAAAGACCATATCAGTATTTGGAATCAAGGACATTAATTTTGCAAGGTGGTGATAATTAAATTATGGCTACCTATGTATGCAACAAAAAAATGTGAAATTACCTTAAGATATGAAAATAGCTTTCATTTGTAACATACGTCACGGAATTCATATCCAATATACCTAACTATTAAATTAAAAATCTTTTTATTATTCCCAAGATTAACAAAATTATAAAAGGTTCATTTAAATCTCTAAGAACATATTTGATTTGATCATATGGGGCTTCGGTTTCCTTTTTTCGTTGTTTTAAAGAGAATTCATTATATAAAAAGGACTTGAATTAACAATCTAAACCGAATCAATATGTATTCAATTTGACTCCAATCAAATAATCCACTTAAGTTCTATTCAGTCAGATGTATACTTGATTGTTTAGCATTATCCGCTGCAGAGCTCGGGCCAATTATTTAGTCATATACTTAGTGGTTAATTAGCTCCTATTATGTAGCAACGTGGGATGGCTTTCAGTTGTTGAGTGCGTATAAATTACCACTCTCATATCTAATGCAAATAACCATATTCCAACAATTACATGGTATCAGAGCATCGATTATGATCTGCTTAACACTAAAATCTGCTTCCCACACGTCTTCTTTCTTCCTCTATTTTCCTTCTTCTCTACCAATCGCACTGGACAGGCTCCACTCTCTCTTCTGCATTTCTTTCTTCCTCACTTCACGATGACCACCAACTACGGCGAGTCCGTTATCAATCTTGACGATGTCAATAGAACCATCACGCTGAATCCAACTTCACAGCTCCCCACCAATCTTCCCATGATAACTTTCCCACCTGGCTGCCCAACTTTTCACTCTTCTCTGAGGCCTCGACCTTCTAAGATTTCTTGATGGCACACACCCTTAACCGGCTGCTGATGCACCTCCAGCCAAACGTACTCAGTGGTTCAAGCAAGATCAACTTCTTCTTCATGCTATTCTCGCTTCTGTCACCCCGGCTGTTGCAAGAAAAATGTTTTTACTGTGTCTACTTCCATTTGCAGCAAATCCATCCCACTTCTCAACTAACCCACCTCACTTTTCAGTTCAACCACCTCACCTTTTAGTTCCACCACTTCACTTTCAGTCCATCATTTGCACTCAAAGCATAGCAGAAAACCTGCAAAACATCTAAGTTCCATCAAGCATCGACAACTAGAAAGAGGCTACAAGTAAATTAAGAAATTCATTGCATACATAATAGAACATAATGGAAGTTCTTTCTAAAAGAAAGATGACAAACCTCGATATTAGTCCGGTTGTGCATGCCAAACACAGATCCCAT